TCTGTCAGTTTATTGACTGGTGGCTTGCATGTTGCTGTGAGGCTAGAAGCTATGTCACAGGTATTTCAAATACAAGCAGGGTCACCCATGGTGGGCAGGTTTCAGTGGAGCTTCCAAACTAAGACAGACTAGGAAGAAGGAAAGGGCTATTCACTTATCAAAGAATTGGCTAGTGAAAACCTTATGTATAGCAATGAAACACTGTCCAATAAATTACTGGAAAACTTTATGAATAGCCCTGAAACATTGTCTGATACAGTGCTGGAAGATGAGCCCTTCATGACAGAAGACTCTCCAAATATGACTGAGGAAGAGCTACCTCCTCAGAATAGAGTCGACCTTAATGATGTGCATGGAAGAAAGCTTTTGGGATCTCCATTTGCTGATGTGGCACAACTCAAAATGGGAAGAAACAACTGCAAACATCCATTAATAATCAGAACATGGAATGTACAAAGTATGAATCTAGGAAAAGTGGAAGTTGTCAAAAATGAAATGGGATGCATAAAAATCGATATCCTAGGCATTAGTGAGCTAAAATGGACTGTTTTGGGCCATTTTGAACCAGACAACTGTATGTTCTACTATGCCAGGAATGATGAATTGAAGAGGAATGGTGTGGCATTCATTATCACAAAGAATGTTTCAAGATGTTTCCTGAAGTACAATGCTGTCAGTGATAGAATAATACCCATATGCCTACAAGGAAGACCAGTTAATACTACTGTTTATTCATATTTACAGACCAACCACCAAGGCCAAAGATGAGGGAATTGAAGATTTTTACCAACTTCTGCAGTTTGAAATTGACCAAACATGCAATTGAGATGTATTGATTATTACTGGTGATTGGAATGCAAAAGTTGCAAATGAAGAAGAATCACTGGTAGTTGGAAAATATGGCCTTGGTGATAGAAATAACTCTGGAGATCACACAATAGAATTTCACAAGACCAGTGACTTATTCATGGCAAATACCTTTTTTCAACAACATAAAATGTTGCTACACATGTGGACTTTGCCAAACGGAGTACACAGGAATCAGATAGACTACATCTGTGGCAAGAGGCGATAGAGAAGCTCCATATCATCAGCCAAAACAAGGCTAGGAAATGGCTGTGGAACAGACCATCAACTGCTCATATGCAAGTTCAAGTTGAAGCTGAAGGCTGTTAAAACAAGTCCATGAGAGCCAACATATGACTTTGATTATATCCCCCCTGAATTTAGAGACCATCTGATCAACAGATTTGATGTATTGAACACCAAAGGAATTGTGGGATGAGGTCAAGGACATCATCCATGAAGAAAGCAAAAGGTCATTAAAAAGACAGGAAAGGAAGGAAAAACCAAAATGGATGTCAGAAGAGACTCTGAAACTTGCTCTTGAACAGAGAGTAGCTAAAGTAAATGGAAGAAATGACAAGAGCTGAACAGAGGATTTCAAAGAGCAGCTTGAGAAGACAAAGTCAATTATTATAATGAAATGCACAAAGACCTGGAGTTAGAAAACCAAATGGGAAGAACATGCTCAGTGTTTCTCAAGCTGAAAGATCTGAAGAAAAAATTCAATCCTCGGGTTGCAATACTGAAAGATTCTATGGGCAAAATATTGAATGATGCAGGAAACATCAAAAGAGGATAGAAGGAATACACAAAGTCACTGTACAAAAATAATCAGTCAATGTTTATCCATTTCATATGATCAAGAACCAATGGTATTGAAGAAAGAAATGGAAGCTCCACTGAAGGAATTGGCAAAAAACAAGGCCCCAGGAATTGACAGAATACCCACTGAGATGTTTCAACAAATGATGCTGTGCTTGGCAAAGACTTACTTGTTTTTGCCAAGAAATTTAGAAGACAGCTTCCTGGCCAACTGACTGGAAGAGATCCATATTTGTACCCATTCCAAAGGAAGGTGATCCCACACAATGTGGAAATTATTGAACAATATCCCTGATACACACTCAAGTAAAATCTTGCTGAAGATAATTCAATAATAGCAATATATTGATAGAGAGCTTCCAGAAATGCAAGCTGGATTCAGAAGAGGATGTGGAATGAGGGATATCATTGCTGATGCAGATGGATCTTGGCTGAAAGCAAAGAATACCAGAAAGATGTTTACTTGTGTTTTATTGACTATGCAAAAGCGTTCAATTTTGTGGATCATAACAAATTATGGATAACATTGAGAAGAATGGGAATTCCAGAACACTTGGTTGTGCACATGAGGAACCTACATATAGGCTAGGAGGCTGTCGTTTGAACAAAACAAGGAGATACTGTGTGGTTTTAAAATCAGGAAGGGAGTGCATCAGGATTGTGTCCTTTCACCATACTTACTCAATCTGTATGCTTAGCAAATAATCAGAGAAGCTGGACTATATGAAGAAGAGCATGGCATCAGGATTGGAGTAAGACTCATTAACAACCTGCGATATGCAGATGACACAACTTTGCTTGCTGAAAGTGAAGGTGACTTAAAGCACTTGTAGATGAAGATTAAAGACTGGAATCTGCAATATGGGTTACACCTCAACATAAAGAAAATGAAAATCCTCACAACTGGACAAATAAGCAGCATCATGATAAATGGAGTAATGGTTGAAGTTGTCAAAGATTACATGTTACTTGTTTCCACAACCAACACCAATGAAAGCAGCAGTCAAGAAAACAGATGATGTATTGTACCGGGCAAATCTGCTGCAAAAGACCTCTTTAAAGTGCTAAAGAGTGAAGATGTCTCCTTGAAGACTAAGGTGCACCTAACCCAAGCCATGGTATTTTCAATCACCTCTTATGCATGTGAGAGCTGGGACAATGGAAGACCGAAGAAGAGTTGATGCTTTTGAGTTATGGTGTTGGTGAAGAACACTGAAAGTACCATGTACTGCCAGAGGAATTAACAAATCTGTCCTAGATGAAGTGGAGGCAGAGTGTTCCTTTGGAAGTGAGAATGGCCAGACTTCATCTCACCTACTTTGGTCATGTTGTCAGAAGGGACCATTCCCTGGAGAATGATATCATGCTTGGTAAA